AGGTCGTCTCTGTTCGAGACAACCCTGGGTAGGAGGCCTGTGGGACGACGAGGAAGTCATGGCTTGGGCAGATCGACCAAACCTGCCGTGAAGAACTAGAGATGGGCCGAGTCCCTGCCTGGCGTCTAGCCATGAGGGATCCTCGTAGGTGGAAGCGAAGGGTGGATGCAGCTATGCACTCCGTAGCGTCAGCCCCCTTGATGATGTACACACATATGATATACATACACAAATGAGTATGTCAATATATATTTATAAATTTGTATATATGTACACATAAATGTAGTAATTATATATATAATATATATATATATATTATATATATATTATATTATGTATATATATATATATAATGTATTCCCTGCCAAAATTATATAGAATTTACTTTACATTTAGCATCAACAGTTGCAATTTTATTCCTATCAAAAAGTTGAGAACAGAGTATTAAAAGGCAAACTAAATCAATAATTTCCTTAATATGCATTATGGCACAAATGTAATTGTACAAAATTGAATAATATACCTGCTTTGCAAGTCAGGTCGAGCAGGGGTGATAACACTGTAAAAACATTCGCAAGGCTGAATGGTTCTTTTCACTTCTCCTACCCAGTAGATTTCTTCCTCCTTCAGCAGACGGTGTTCACTCTACTTTCACTTCTCACACTTCTGTGGCATATGCAAGCATACGCCCTCGCAAGGAATAGCTGCATAAAAGGACATCTCTTCAGACATCAGGGGCAGAACTGGCAGACAGCAGACAGACAACGGTTTCGCTCATCACCACTCCCCCTCCCCTGAGCACCCGGGCATGGGTCTTTCATGGAATTTGACATCCAACTCCCCATTTAACCCTCCAGCCATGACCCTTTCATTCACCTGCTCTACGCCCAACCTCTTACTTCCACAAACATGATTCTTATATGAAGAAGATAATCCTCATCATCCCTATCAATTACCTACTGCAGATATGGAAACTTCTGAAATAGCAACATTTTAGAACCTTCATTACTCTGGCAGAAACCCAGAAAATTTAATTTCAATTAACATACCTTACATAAAAGCTTTGACTAAATGGAATACCCCTAGGTAGTATGTGATCCTGAAGTGTGGTATCATTTACAAACTATAGACCATTCTCTACTACAAGTGGGAAAATAATTGTTGCAGAGTTACTTCAATTTCTTTGTCAGTACACGAATTATTTTGAGAAAAAAACAGATGTTACATATCTGAAAGTTCGGTCTGAAAATGTGTATCAGTGTACTTCCAAAAATATTTTGTTGTACTAAATTTGTGATGATATTACATTAAATTCATGAGCCGCAGTAATATTTTTTCTTTCTCATTTATAGGATTAATTAATATTACATTCTTGTTACATCAAATATAAAATGCTTTTTATTAAGCCAAGAACTGACCCTACAATCATATTACTGTCCAAAATTGGGCCTGATACATGTGTAAATATTACCACAGGAGGAATATAAATATCAAATTCCCAAAGTCGAGCCACAGGATAATTTTGGGGCCGCTCCCTTTGGAGTTAGTAGTACTTGCTTAGCTATATGAATACATACTGAACATTGATACGAAGATGCAGGTTAACCTTGTATAAAAAAAAAGAAATAAATAAGTAAATAAATAAATAAAAACATAAAATAATAATAATGCTAAAAATCTTATGTGACATATTTTTCACGACGAGAAACAATTTGTATTTTTCATCCATAATTGTAGAATGCTACGGTACGAATACATATATCTCTTCCCATTTTCCTCTCTTTTTCCCTTCTTTTTAATCCCAACTATCGGAGGTACGAGTTTGCCGCAAGCATAACACGAACGTATAGAAGTACCTTTTAGTTGCTCTCTCTCTCTCTTTCTCCCCTTCTTTCTCGTTGTCTGTCTATTTCTGTCTCGCCTCCCCTCTCTTGTTCGTCCTTATTTATTTCAGTTCAGTGAGATATGCGAAGGCTAGCTTCGACGGGGCCTTTCATATACTTTATGAGGCCCAGGCTGTTTCAGCCATTTAGAGCTGTCTCAACTGATTCATCACCTCCAAATGCTAACTGTGGTGACCGGATTGCCAGCAGGTGCTCCAGACTCCACAATGTAGGAAAGAGGCATAATCTCACTACCCCGTCGGCTGTCTCAAAAATCGTGAGTGCTCACACCTTGTCAGACAATAAAACAGGGTGGCATCCGGCTAGCCACAGTGGTTCAATACCTGTCAGCACGGTCAGTGGTGTCAATAATCTGCCATGCATAGTGGTAGCCTGGTGTAATTCTGCGAAGAATGACTTTAGCACCTCCAGTGATTGTTGCAGAGTGCCTGGCTCATAGCCTGCGGCATCTTAGTACTATCTGGCCTAAGTTCTCGCTTCCTCTCTGTGTAATTGTCCTGTGGCTAATGCCCTATGCCTTAACAGTTTTCGGCTTGGCTGAATGATCATGGGACTTAGGGGCATACCCCTGACAATTTCAGCTAGTTTCAATATAGTTGGAGTGGGGGGGGGTGTCCTTGCCCTTAACAAGTGCTATTAACACCCTAGCTGGATGTGATAGACAGTAGTTTGATTTATTTTGTGTTTCAGATATCCAGGGTAAGCTTTGCTTCCATGCATAAGTTGAAAACCTTGGTCCACCTGGGGGCAGCCAGAACAAACCTGGCAGCTTCATTTTATCTGTATCCAGTTTTCTCTGAGTCTTGGCTTGGTAGCGGTCAGGGCGACAGGATGGATGGACAGCATGTACATAAGACAGTACTTTGTGTCCCACGTTTCATTGCTCTCACGATAGTCTAGCCTTGGCTCGTGTGTGCGTGTGTATAGTATACCACTTGGGGGAGCATACCATGTGGGGCAATGCGTGGTGCACATGGCGCCATGCTGTTGCTGGTGCCCTCTGGTCAGATATAAGCTGAGCCAACTTGACCTCTCGCCCTGTTCCCACTGAGACAGAAGCTAACCTGCTTCTTAAGAATAAAAAGTCGAACCAAAGAAGTTATTACTCTGCTCAACAGTAGTTCAATACCTACAGCTGGTGACAGGGTGGTTGTTACATATGTGAACATTAAAAACTCATCGAAAATCTGCTCGACCAGCACCATCATAATGTGCATCGCTTTTACGTTGAATTTGCTGGTTTAAAGTGCGAACCGTGAAATTTTAAATTCTTTATGGTAGTAGGAATGTGAACACACTCGGTTACTCATCTTGACCTGAGGTCATGTCCTCGGAACAGATGTGAGAACATGATCTCTGGTCACAAACATGTATATCATCCATGTAATTTTTCTCTCATTTATAGAGATTTTACTTCAACTAGAACAAATTCAAAGCATTCGTGATTTCTCTCAAACTGAGAATTTTCTCCTTGTGATTCACAATTACTTTATGATTTCTGTGTACTCATTCTTTGTACGAATTTCACTCGTTTATGGACAGTTTGCTCCCCGACCAACCTCACTTTAGCTTTCATTCGGTCGCAGCGGGAAGGAAACTGATTGTGTAGGCCATATTGCTAATTGGTGACACTTTCTCTCTGAGCGAAAATGTAGCTTGACCTTGACCGCAACTATGTATAAATTAATTAAATGTATATAGCGTTGCAATTTTCCCCTTTCATATTGCACAGGTCGCATATCATTTAATGTTGAGTTCAGTGTGGTAATTGAAATGTATTAACATAGTCAATGATTTTAACATTTGCTAAAATGGACGTGAATATACGTGTGAGCTTGATCTCTCTTTACGCTATTCACTCATACATATACACGCACTCACACACTCGATCATTCACGGCAAAACAAAAGACAAAAACTTTCATGAATAGAGTTTGTAGTGTCGTAAATGTAGGCATAAAGAGTATTGGGGTATCTTTTCCTTGTGATGTTGCCAGTCGTTAGGAGTTACAACATAACACGAAATCATTATATATTCACTCATCCATGCAGAACAACCGACACTGTAAATATATACAAATCTTCATTAATAGGATTTGTTTGTGTTGCAGCTGCAAGTTATCTCTTTAGCCCGCGACGTTGCCAGTCGTGATGAGTGACAATGATGCACAATTTACCTTTACATAATTTTTTTCTTTTTCTATGAAATGACAATCGGTTCAAGTAAATCCTCGCGGATTGAAAAAAAAAGAAAATAAATGATATAACAAACATTAAAAACTGCAAATCAGTATAAAAACACAGGCTAGTAGCACTTAACATCCTCCTTCCTGTTGCTCTCTTTTTCTCCTACTATTTTGGCCTTTCCGTGTATGATCTGATTCGATAATACATTAGATGGACTGTGGATATCCGACACTGCACCGGTGGAGGCCTAACTGCAGCACGGTCGCCTTGGAATGCCATGGGACGAACGTCGCCGGAAGATCGCCGCAGGCCTGAGGACTAGGAGTCCATAGTGCAGGCATTAAACCGCCCCAGGAACTCGTCAGAGGAGGCCCCAGGATGCTATGGAAGAGCGCCGTCTGCCTGGACGCCGGTAGATCCGGTCAAAACTCCAGTAGCTCATCAGCAGAGGTATCAGACGCCGATGCCCCAACGCCCGTAGACCCAGAGGCAGGTTACAAGGCCTTGTAGACGTGTGGACGAATACGCCGCCGAGTAACACCTGGACAAGCACTACGAGAAAGTCTGGATGATCCGATGTCAAGGAGGACCTAGACGAGACCTTCGCGGACGGATAGATTCACTGAGGACCAAGAAGAGGCCGACAAGGAGGAGCAACACGAAAATGATCAAGGACAAGAACACAAGGACAAGAAAAGCAGATCGGGTCCGATGATGGGTCACCCTTGAGGCAAATCAAATAATGCCTTGAGGGCGAGGCGGAAGTAGATGGCCATGCAATAAAGTATAATCATGTCGGGGAGCATACCAGGTGAGGCCATGTGTGGTGCACACGGCCCCATGCCGTCGCTTGCGCCCGCTGGTCGGATATAAGCTGATCCAACTTGACATCTCGCTCAGTTCCCACCGAGACAAGCTAACCTGCTGACGGGACTGCTCACCCTCCATGCGGCTGCGCCCTCATTAGGGCGTGAGGCCGCTGGTATCACCAGCGCCTGTGTCTCTTATTGTGTTCTTTTCATCTCGTGTAGACAAGAAAAAAAAGTCCAGCCATAGAAGTATTACTCTGGCCACCAGTATCAATGTAGGTTAACACCTTTTATGTGTGTGTGTGAGAGAGAGAGAGAGAGATAAAGAAAAAATACTGAAAAACACGTTAGGAGCACTACACATCATTACTGAACTGAATTCTTCTATCAAACTGTATGCGGCCATCGTCCAATTTTCATGCCTAAATTCATCTTTGTATCAATGTTTAGTAAGTATTAATGCAAGTATTTCCACCTCTGTAGGGAGCAGCACGTCCAACGCGTCCTAAGTGGCTCGCTCGCCCATGTGAACTTGATACATTAGCCTCTTGTCGTATTTTTTTCTTTTTTTAAACAACGGTTCTTCCATTTAATTTCAAATCCTTTGATAATTCAGTTAGAAACCTTTTCATATATGACACGTATTTTTTGCTCAAAATAATGTGTGTATAGTTCCCCACATTCCCAAATGTTACATTATGTGTCCTGAGGAGATATTACTTATCTGGCAATACTTGTGTAGGTAGTATTCCCTGAGTGTGAGCGTCAATTTCTAACCATGATTGACTGGTTGAAATAATTTTACAAATAATTTTACAAAAAAGAAATCTGATTGAGGAAATTATATCAAAATGTTATGACTATTCAGAGAGAAAAGATTGACTTTTAGTTGCAGCAAATGTCTCGAAAAAACAATATTTAATAGATTTGACAACTGCGCCTAAACAATGCTTGCCACCTAGTGTAATGAGTGAAAACAATAAGTGTTTTTATTTAAAGCAAGTAAAAGTATGTGTAATATTTAGATGTTTATTAGTTTATAAACGTCATATAATATTTGATTTTTATTTGATGTGAACAAAACATTCACAATGTTTCTGATTCTCCGGCCACAGAGTTTGCCACACGAACACACACGCACGCACGCGCGGCGCGCACACACACACACACACACACACACACACACACACACACACACACACACACACACACACACACACACACACACACACACACACACACACATGCATATAAAATAGTAAGCTCAAATCACCTATGTCATTCATGGGATTAGGTGTTTAGTTAACTGTTACATTTGATAATCGAGCAGAAATGACGGCCAAGGCCCACGTTATGGGTTATACTGCAGCAGGTGCATTATATTTTCTTGTCTATCTCAAAAAAGAAAAGAAAAAAAAGCACGTGTACTTCACATGGATAATCTTATCACTGCCCTTATCCGATCTCCCCACCATGGCGAGAATGGTACAATCGCCAACAAGTTTCACCAGCTGTACTTCCACGATAAAGCAAGTATTGTTTATGAATCACCACTGCGTTAGATATTTCACCTCAAATACAGAAATCTAGAAGCAGGGTAAATATATCTACTAAGCAGTGTCAGCACATCAAACCTATATAGAATGTGTCGTAGCGTGTTTCGGTCGCGCTGTTATCGAGGGCAGGAAAGTGCTATGATTTGTCAGGTGCCCAACTACTATGTAAAGAAGCGATCACATTTATAAAGTAAATGACAGGATATCAGAGTAGGAAGTATTATATATACAATACCGATGTCTCTTAGTGTCAAGGCGTGAGAGTTTTCGGCTGTTGAATATTCATATGAATTCACCTACAAAGATTCATGTCATTTATCGTCACAGACAACTAAGTTACACTGGCAAATTAATACAGACCGTCTAATGCAAGCCAGAGAGTGATGCAACATTATAGAAATTTTCACGAAAAAGCGTTGGACATTAATAAGTATTCAACGTAATTTAATAAGTAAATTTAAGTAAGGATAACCAAGAGGGACCACACATCAGCTCTTGATATAAAATCCGCAGGATTATCTTTATACTTCAGTAATGATGCCATCAATTAGGCGATACAGTCTTAATTTTTAAAGCTCTTTTAGAAGAAAGCATTGGTATTCTTTTTACTACCAGGAAGGGCAACCCTTGAAAATGTCCAAATGATATACTTGCCTAATTTTAGAACAGATTTTATAAGCATACACTAATGCATGTAATAATAATTCAGTCTGAAGAAAAGCAACCCTTTTAAGAGGAGTAAATCTAGACCTGGCAGTAACAAAGGTTACCTTGTAGTGTCCATCCATCAAGGAAACTCACAAGTAGACGCTGGCGCCAAACCCTTTTTCCGGATGCAACCTCAAAAGCATGTACAGTAGTTCAAATGCTGGACTAACTGGTCCCATGAGATGTCTAGACAATATTGTAGATCATATTCCATTCCTTCAACGTGGAAGAGTTTTACTTCATTTTTGGTATTTACCTTGCAAATCTTTAAGGAACTTCCAAGTTAAGACTAACCTTCAAATGTCTAGAAATACAATATTGGTATACATTATAAATGTGGTCATAAAGACTAGGGGGTCAATAATTTGGTAGTCAAGCCTAGCATAATCATTGCGGTAAACATGAATAAAAGGGATCTAGATATAGAGGTCTTTAATATAAAATCTAGATGCAATCCATTTCCTAACAAATACTACGGCAGAATTTTGGCTTTCAATGGACTCACGAGGAACATGATATTGCCTGAAAATAAACATCACTACACACACACACCTTGCATGAATTATACCTGCTTCAGGCAAAAGACATAGACTTCCTCAAATTTGTGACAAAGCTTTGCTATAGTATTAGCTCCTGTCGACTAATCATCTACATAAAGATTCTCCTGGAGTTCCTTAGCCACGGGAGAATGAAAGCAAGACCTTAATTGGAATTTTACGGTAGCATCTAAGAGATATGGACTACTAGTGTTCCCAAATTGTACACATAAATTACATAATTTTTTTTTTTACAAAACCACACAAAAAAAAAAAACAATGAACATAAGGGCCTTTAGGCTTAACACTAATCAATGTGAAAGCTTTTTTAATGCCATTGGAAAGGGCAACCTTCGATTCATAACATCTTTATACCGTCCAACTTAAAATTCCACTTCAGCAATTTTAAAAATCACAGGTGAAAGGGTCAGGAGGAATTTCTTTTGGATCACTACCCACGGCTTCTATCACCCAAAATTCGTAAATCATTATTTGACGCTATCAATGCATATGCAGCATAATTATCAAGAATTGGATATCCGAAAAGTTATGGAAGTATCTCTATTAAAGAAATAGAGATCATGGGGATGTCGACAGCTGCTCTTCTAATCAAATATGGAAGAAATGTAGAGGCAAACAGAACCAGTATCAAACAAAACAGATGCTTCCACATGGTCCGTAAAACCATCTGGATCACAGCAAAAACATTGTTGCTTAAGAGCAACATGGACATAGCTTTCGGAGGAACCAGAAGCTCCATCAACATCCTGATCGATAATTACTTCCACATATTTACTCTGAGCCACAACACCAGGGTGTTTACCACTACACAGAATACTAAGCATGGCAAGCTTCATAGAAATGGTCTGCAGACACTGAACAAAACTAACACTCCTAAGTTCATCATTACTCTCAGTGATGAATAATATAAGATCTAAACATTGCTCATTGGGACGGTTCCTAAATAAGCTACACTTGTAGCTTGTTTGAGGCCTTCGTCTCAGAACAATTTGAAGTGCTAAGGCTAAGGATGAAATCGTTTAAATCTCTATATTTCTTTGCTGAGGAAC